CCCATGATGATAGCTGTGCAGTAGGCTCAGAAAACAGCTGGTTTAGGTTTGAGCAAGTGATGGAGGTCCGCAGGGAGGAAACGAAGAAAAAAGGTTTGAAGGTATTTGGTAATGCCCTTGAAAGGTTGGCTGTATGAAGGTAAACAAGAAGGAAAAAGGCAGTTAGAAAGTACTTGAAAATTTCTCTGCGTCTAATGAGGAGATCATCCCTGCACATCTCTTCCGAACCACTTACTTCTTCATTATGTTGTTAATTTCTATGTCACCCATTCACTGAAATAGATCTCTCTGGCTCCTCACCATTTTAATTGTTCTTTTATGTTCTGAGGCACCAGAAGAGGTGATCTATTTTTCTTTTCTTGAATGTAGCCTGGCTGTGAGGTCAGGAGCAGCTGTGACCACCTTGGTAGTTTCCTGAAGCCTAAATCAACGCAGAGAAAGCAGAGGAAACAGAAGCCCAGGGAGGCTGCGGTGAGCCCTGTTCCCTGCCCTGCGTCTGCACTTCCTTAAGGTTTATTGCCATGTGAAACTAACCGTCCTCATATAATTTATTCCGGTATGAACCTGGGCTTTCTAATACTTGTGGCTAATGCATCCACTTGCAAAAATCAAATCTTCAGTCTGTGTTAAGATGCTATATGAGTGGGAGAATTAAAGTTATAAAGACAGCCATTTAGGCATGAGTCCTATCTCCTTTATCCCTGTTTCTCAAAGTCTTTGGGCTGATTGGAAATAGGGATTCTGTCTCTTTTTCTGAGCTCATCCTCTCAAATATACTTGTCACATCTTCTCAGGGCTCAGTTCCTGGATCTTTTATTTTACAGTTTGCTGCTACTCTCCAGATAATTTCCAGACTTTCAGTACCAATAATACACTGACAGTTTCTGCATTTATAACTCCAGCCTGGAGCTCTTGCCTGAACTCCAGAATTCTGTCTCCTAGAATCAGCTGATTTCTTGACATCTCTACTTGGGCTTCTAATAGGCAGCTCAAATTTAGTAAGTCCCAAAACAACTCTGACTCCTCACCCCTCCAAGGAAATTTGTTCTGCTGTAATCTTCTTCTCAGTTTAATGCCACCTCTATTCTTCTAGCTGCTCAGGGCAAAAACCATGGAACCATCTTTGACTCTTGCTCTGTCTGATTCATCAACTATCCTGCTGGCTCTGTCTTCAAAATATACCTGTAACCGGACTTCTAACAATGTGCATATTACTGCTCTTGACCTGGTTTGGACTCTCTTGCAAGTGCAAATTATATAATATATGTTTAATTAATGAAATGATCCTTTTCTCCAGGCATTAACTAACTAATCTGATAAGTGAGTTCTTGCTAGTCGATGCCAGTGATAACGTATTAAGATTTTAGTCTAAGAGGTGTGTCTTAAAATGCCTAAAATACAATTTAAACATGGGCTCTTTGAAGTCAATATTTTGTCAAAAAGCAGTAATTTTAATAGTGCATATTTCAGTAATTGTGAGAAAGTGGGCCTTGCCTTAAACTTTTGTATCTGATGGCATTCTTTCAGTTGTAACAGAAACCCAAATCAAATTAAATAATACAGAAAGTATTAGCTCACTTAATGCAATGTCTGGGTATAGGGTATTGGTCCGGTTCCTATAATCTTGGCTTCAATACTGTTCCTGGATATTTCTTTTCTGGAATTTTCCTCCATACTCTCTCCTCAGGCTGGTAAAATGTCTGTTGACATTGTGGCTTCACATCCATGCATGGCAGTGTTCAGGAAAAGAGCAGGGAGGTGGCTTTAGAAAATTTATTGGAAGAGTCAGAAAATTTTCCTAGCAGATGCCTGCAAACCACTCCTCAGGTACCACTGGTTCAATGTAAGGCACATGCCCGTTCCCGAGTAGGTTATTGGCAGGAGGTCTGGGATTACCTGCAGCTCTTCAGCCTGCTCTGAGAGGTGGCTTCTCCTGGGGCATGTGGGGCTTGTGGGGAAAGGGAAGGGCTGGAGAGCTACAGGGGGTTTCGGTCCCATGAGGACGGAGGAAGTGGGAAGGCAGGCAGGGGTGGGCTGTGTCTTTATTTCTTCTGGGCCAGTTATTTCTATCCCTCCAGCTTTAGGAACAAGTTTGTCATCTTTAAGATAATAGCTGTAAAGTGTTTTCTCCTTTAGATTTCCTCTGAAATTCATCTAAATTTCTGCTGCCTGTGCGGGTGAAGAATTTAACTGTTTTTCTCCTAAATGAACTCAATGTCGCTTAGAGGAGAAACAAAAACTTTATTTTTATTTTCTCAGGTGCTTTGAATTATGTAGCTGGTGCTGTATGAAGTTGAAATGAATTCATTAGTTCCTAAAGTTATATTTGCATTATTATATATGCTATTGATATATTTTAATTTTATTATAATGATAAATATAGTTACTAGGGTTACGGAATTAAAATGAGATAAATGTATTTCTTATCTGGAAAATTATGCTAGGTACTTTTTAAAAAAGAATATACTGGAAAAATGTATTAGGATCAGTTTAAGGACAATATAAATAACAAATCTGGTGGTCTTTTTTTTTTTCCATCTTAAAATCTAGGACATAAAAAAATTTCTTAGAGTATTTTAGAGCGTGTAATTTGGGCTCTCATTGTAAATCCAAGACAAGATCCAGGTTTCCTGGAAATACTCCAGGTATTTATAAATCAGTCAATGTCCCATGGGCTTCCATTCAGCATTACTTGATTTCTTCCACACAAGTTTGACAAGACGTTTTCTTCTTGGCTTCACACAGCAAGTCCTAGAAAATTGGTGTGTGGGGAAAGATTTCTTCCTGACCACACTGTCTCTGGCTAAAGCTGCGACAAGACCATTACATTACCACCCCAGGCATTCCAGTCATCAGAACTGATGGTGAAGCACCCAGGCTTGAGGGCAGAAGCATGCAGCCTCTCTGGAAGAGAGATTTGTGTCCCCCCATGTATCCTTGACAGTTCAGTAGATATTCATGAAAGGAAGCAATGACATTAGAAAATAAAATCCAAATGGTCTAAGAGGGAAATATGTAGTATCTTTATGTAAATGTATCTGAAACTCCCACTCCCAACCAAGGAGTCATTTTAGACCTTTTTTTCTGTTTGTCCCTGCTCCCCATGAACTCTTAAAACCACAGGCCACTAACCACTCCTTGTACCAAATTATCTTCCCCCTTGGGAATATTGAGTCTGTTAAAAATTCATGCTTCATAGAAACAGTATTTTAGAGCAAACATGACTTGAAAGTCAGATTAGGCCTGAATCTGTCTCTGTGTACAAGGGGAGGTTACTCACCCTCTCTGAATCCCAGGATTCTACACAACCTTATAAGTTCATTGTCAATGTAAGTTTATTGTCACTGTCTGAAATATATTTTGACATTTCATAGATTGTAGTTCTCTTATACACTGGTGTCTTTAAGAAAGTGGTGAAAATGTTTAGCAGATATGCCAACCAATAGTCTTCTCTAAAGGATGGTGCTTTCCTGAGAGGACCCCTAAAGCATACATTTTAATACCCGTGAGCTGAAGAGCCAAAACAAAACCTTGGTCTTCCTGCTTTTTGCCGTAAGCTGTGATCTGTCTGAATTGATGCAGGATGTAAGTTCAGAGTGAAATATCTGTAAAACACCTTTCTTTAACTAATGCACTGAAACCTAATATGTAGCTCAGATTTGAGCTGAGTGATTGTGTCTGAATCTGGTTTGAATATTTCACTTACCCATTACATACAGCAAAGGCACTTCTTTAGAATCTCTAGTGTCCCATGGACCAAAACTGGAAAACCCTATGGTCCTTTATATGATTCTTTCTGGTCTTAAGTTTTAAACATTGATTTATGGACAGTTCGTATGTCGGGTTGAATTTGCCTTGATGTTCCTATTTTTTAACATGGTTGATATTTTTAAAAACAGATTAGAAAACGAAGTAGTTGACTTCATGCACACAGAAATTAACCTATTGGATTTTTTTCCCTTTTGGTCATGGATTAAGTTAAAAGTTTTTGAAGAACAGATCTGAGTTGTAGGCAGACTTTATTTCACCCATTTGCTTGGTAAGAAGGGGCTACGGTTGATAAACTTCACAAACTGGCAGCCAATATAAATATTGAATCCAACAGTATAGGAAAACTCTAAGTCAGGAAAGATTATTTCAGGGATAGTTTACCTTTCTAAAAAATATGGAAACATTCATGATTAATTTTTCCATTCTCATATGGCTGCAACAAATCATATGATGAGAAAGAGTGAAATTTGCAGGAAAAGGTGGTAGAATCAGTATTGAAGTTGAAGCAGCTGACAGTGGGAGAGACAAACCATTATGATGCTCTCTTACCATTAATTATTTTTCACCTTTCCTATGTGTTGTGTGTGTGTGTTGTATAGATTTGTATGTGAAATTACTGTACAATGAGTACTATATTAGGAAAACACTTTTGTCATGGTGCATGGTAGAAAACAGTCTTGATCACTACTGATAAAAATGATGCACTGGTCTTCATTAAGAATAATGTAAGGAGTTAAAGCCCACACAAATGAGTTTTTCTTTCTTGTTTAAAAGTATCATTCACTCCAAGGCTTCCATGGATCTTTTAGGAAATGAATTCTAATAATAGTGGACTGAATTTCACAGGAATGGAAAGTAGCAGTAACGAACTTCATATAGGTATACAATTCCTTGAATGATTTGAAAAGCAAAAGCATGTCATAGGTCATAGATGACTAAATGAAGAAAGCTAGTTTTTGTAACATTTTCATTGGTATAAACAACAAACTCTCTTGTCCACAGATATGCCAAGTATAAGTATGAACTAACGCGTTGCTGTCTTTCTTGAAGCAAACTTGCTTTTGGCAATTTGAGAATTTCTATTCAGTTTCCAATTTGTGATACACAAATTTTTTTAATTCTACAGAGCTTTTACCTTTTCTGCTCAGGGTCTATATATATCCCTTAAGTTTGTTGAGGCCTTTAAATCTGAAAAACACAAAGAAGTTTTTTTTTTTTAACATCACCAGGATGAAGAATTACCTCCATTGTTCCAAATGCCCTACTTCTGTTCGCAAGAATCATGATAAGAGTACATGCCCCATCACTTCTGGGAAAAATGGACATTCCTTGGACATCAAAGGTAGGTAAACTGGCAAAAAAAAAAAAAACCAACTCTACTTTCTCGTTACTTATTCTTCTTTGAATAGAAAGTGTGTTTTGTTTTTGTTTTTGTTTTTGTTTTCTTAAGATGCTGATGAGAAACTCTTCTTGCAAGCTCGGAGCTTTCTGTAAATTAAGTTGCCATGGGAAGGGGCAGTGTGAAAACCTAGCAGTTTGGCATTCAGAAGACCGGCCAGTAAAATAACCTAAAATTTGCATGGGCATCTAGATTTTTCTTCTGAGCTGTCTCTCCAGAAATGCTCAGAGCTTTATCTATTCGTTTTAAATAAGTTCGTTAATGGTGAAAGAGAGGATAAGGATCTAGGTAATAATGATGCTGTGGCTCTAAATAGACTGGCAGTAAACCAAGGCAGATGTTTCTGGGGTGGGAGGGGGGCTGCTAATTACTGTTCATAAGCACATGGTGTATAATCAGTTGGTAGGATACTTTTCCAATATTGCTCATGACATTGTAAATCCAGATTCCCGAACAAGAATGGGGAATTGAGAAATGGATAGATTTTTACAAGAAGCAAATGTATAGATTTTTACAAGAAGCTTTTCCAAGAAAATATCTCAAAGTTCGAGAAAAGTGTAAACTTCCACATATGCTTGAAGGGAGGCTCAAGTTACATTTTAGCAGTTGACGATTTTATATCTGGAATGAGTATAAGTGGGGGAAAAGGTATCTTAAGCCAGGCGTCCTTGGTTTTTTTCACATTGGTACTTCAGGTTATGCAGTGCAGTTCTCCAGGCTTATATTTTATTGAAATTGGGATCTGTAGAAGTAGAAAGTCCAGAAATTGAAGGACACTGTAACAACAATGAAGTCCTGGGAAATAGCCAGTTTCCTGCATGAGACTGAGTTGCTGTGGCACTAATTTGGGCACATGCCAAAATGGATACCTGCAGGAGACAAAAGCAGCTGCTGTCTGGTCATCTGGGATGGCATGACCCTGAGAGGGCAGAGGAAATAACATGTGGACACACAGCAGCATAACTCAAAATAAAACAGGGAGATAATAGCTTCTAACAGAAAAACAAGGTGTGTGCCCAACACAAGCCAAGAAGCGTCTGGGGGCCTCAGCTTCGTCCAGAATAAGAAACCAGATTCTTTATAACCTTATCTTGAAAATGAGCTGTTGATAAATTAGTACATAATAGGTCCATAGCAAGGAGGAATTATGGAGCTTGGTGACTTCTTCCTGTGTACTGTCTGACAATCTTAGAGAAATTTGTTTCTGGAGTCTTTGATGAGATTCGTATCCATTGATATAGAAAGTAAACTGGTAGCAGGTTGTATTTATTGTTGAACTAACAATAGTTAGTTCTAACTAGTGCAGGAAGCTGATGCACGGATTAGAGCATCAGACTAGAATTTACAAACTTGTGTTCGTTTTATTGTTTCCAGGACCTTGAAGGCAGGCTTGGGGCAACCACTTTATTATCATCGTCACCACCACGGCCATCAATGCCCCATGAATCACAAATTAAGGTTTGTTAGTCTCTGCTCTAACACTCGAAACATGTTGCTTCATTTAATGTTTGCAAATGACAATGTGGTAGTTACTGGTAATATAATCTCTGTTTTATAAATGAGGAAATTGAGACTCAGAGATTGAATAACTTGCTCAGCTTTACTCAGGCACTACGTAGCAGAGCCACCATTTGATCATCTGACTTCAGAAGTCCACAGTCTCAATCATGATCCTGTACTGTCACAGTCGTGTCCTCTCTGACCTTCAGTTTACTCACCTATTAAACTGGGACGCTGAGACAGCCTCTAAACAGCTTCTTTCAAAATCTAATTCTGACTCTTAAATGTCTTCCAACCCCTCCTCCCAATACCCCATAAAAGCCCTTAGGTCCTCTCAAACCCCAGAAACAATTACTGTCCTTCCTTCCCCCTCCCCATTCTTTTTACAGGAGACATTTTTATTTTCTTGCTATTCTTCTTCGTGCTCAATCACTTAGGGCTCATTGTAATTCATGTGACCACCTCCCTGTGTCTAAGGACGTGACAGTGAGATTAGGAGATGTAAATAGTGTCAGAGCAGACCCCGGAAACAAGCGGGGTTCCCTGGAGACAGTGATAGCTGGGGTGCTAACCCAGTGGGTCCCCCAGAGTGCCAGGGCCTGGAGGGCCAGACCTGGGAGATGTGCGCCACCTGCGGCTGCCTGACTTGTGCAGGAGAAGCTGGAGCAGTGATTCATGATGATATTTGTCATGAAACTAAAATATTGAAAGAACAGGTAATTCAGGTACAGTGAGCTGAAGTCAAGGAAAGAATTACATGTTAAAGTAGTAAATTCAGATACCAAATATGTATTCGAAGGGAAAACCTAGAATCAGGTATTGGTTGTACAGTTTTACTAGTTTAGATTAGCTGCCTTCACAG